GTTTTTTTGTTCATTTGTTGTTTTGTGTTTGGTTTTTTTTCCCCTCCTCTTAAATGCCTTCCTGAATCCTTCCTGAAATTATGACATAGTATTTTGGGGTAAACTTTGCAAATACTGGACATTCCTATTCCTTTCCTTATTACTATTCTCAAAGAATGTTTAAATCAGTCTGATTGCAGTTTGACACGTTTCTAAACCTATTTCAGAATTAATTAAAATCAGTCTATATATCACAAAACAGAACACTGCACCGTTGCATAACATGAAAATGAACTGACAGCTCTTTCATTATCCCAGATTTTTTTTTAATCTAGAACAATTAAAGGCCCTCAAATCTGTCAGTAGGTGTCAGGAGGAACAGCAGAAACGCTACCTATGATAACCTTAAAATGTCTTTGGGATGGTATTTTGTGACACAGAAGAACTAAAATCTTCAGGCAAACTGCTCTGAGGCTCAGATGCTTCTTACACGTGGGGAGGGGTAACCAAACTACCTTAATTTTCACTCCCCTTAGTTTTCACTTAAGAGTACCTAACTACAGATTTGCATGCTTGTATTTCTATGCATATTTTCCATTTTGCTACTGTACTTCCCAAATTTTAACAGCAGCCCTGTTCAAGCTAAGTGGTGGCAATTTTCATGTAAAGTTACAGGAAAGTCACATGAAAAGATAACAGAGTAATGCAGATCATGAAGTGATTTCCTGCGAGTTTATGTCAGAAACCCTGAAGAACTGTAGTCTCCTAAGAGGCCATCTGTTAGTGGCTCCTGTCTCACAGATTCTCAGGATTTAGAATGAAACAAAGGGAAGGGTTTCCTCACCTCAAAATAATTAGCTTAATGAAAACTTAAGAAAAAACCCCAAACAAACCCACAGTCTTATTGTTAAGGAGCACTTTGGTACATGCAAGTTCCTTCCAAAAGAAACACTACACATGGCTATTCTGAGAAGGCTACAGAATTGGAAGTGCTGTGTTGTACCCCTTTAAACAGGACAGCTCTCTTCAGTAGTCATTTAAACACGAGTAACCATTTAGGTATCTTGGCAGGCATGGGCCATTCATTGTATTTAGTTATTTTATTTTTTACTATCCAAACTCAAAAGAAATGCACAGTTAAGCTTCAGGTATCAATACACAGGTTTCTTAAAAATTATCCCTTTCATGTTCTCTTCGGTAAACCATGTGTTCACGTTACCAGTTCAACCATAACCAACAGGTGTTTTCTTGTGTTTTGCTTTTTTTTCCCAGCCTTCCCTAAAGGGACTTTTTCAACTTTAATATAAAACATTGTAAACCTCTTATTCAAAAAACAAAATTCAGAAAAATCTTCCCAGTGAAACAACTTTCCTGTGTCTGGCATGGCCCAATCTTACACAGTTTCTTTTGGTATAGTAACTGTCTTTTTCAGCCAATTTAGGTCTCCATGAGTGTTTTAGATTTAAGGTAGACAAGACACAGTTTAGAAATAGATTAGCACATACCTATCATGGTATGGCAGTTTCAGTAGACATCAACTTTTCATAAACCATTGTGCATTTCACAATTCAGAAAGCTTTCTCAGTGTTGAACATCAGCCTTTCCCCATAAGTCTTGTTGTTGTTCTGCACTTCTACCATTACTCTCAAAACTCTATTCTCCAGGTGTTTGAGATCATACATTCCTGAACAGCTTTGCTTTCTTTGCACAAGAGTTGCACTTCTTCATACTTCATACAGTAACATTTTCCCATACATTTCAAGGCAGTTGGTCAATATCTCAACTAAATGCAACAATTAAAAACATAATTACTTTTTTTGGGGGGTGGAGAATTTTCTTTTTACAGTCACATTCATCTGTACTTCTAGTAATATGGAAGCTTTTAATCAATACCAGGACTTGTGGGTTTCTTTTTCTGAAAAATCATTCCTTCTCCGGCTTATTACAGCTATCGCAAAAAATTATTTTGAAACTTAACATATTTGCACTGATAGACAACAAACCAATATTATACTAGACAATACTTGTTTGCAGAGATTCTATAAATATATTGTGCACTTACAGAAAAATTATTTCACTTTGAATATGTGCCAAACAGTAGTTAATATTTTAACACTACATCATAGCAGCAGTCATGTATGCATAAACCAGCACTTTTTCCAAAAAGAATTTAAAAAAAAAAAAGTCACAGCATTTTGGGTAACATGATGATTACACTAAAGTATGACAAATTCAATGCCAACTGAAGAAAGTTTCTAAAACTAAGAATGGAGCCTGTTAATGCAAAGGCTGTGTAAAACATGGCATTAAACAATGCTAGTGTAGATACAACAGCTTCCAAAATGCAATGTTTTTTGTTGTTTTGTTTTGGTTGCTGTTTGTTTTTTGTTTTTTTTTTAAAAAAAGGCTACTATGATTGGCAGCATCAAATTCAGCAAAATCACTGCATTTACATCCTCAACAGGTTTATAAGGAAAACATGTGGTCTGTTCCAGAACTTAAACACTGGCACTGCAGATGATGACACATCCCAGGAGTCTTAAGCGCTACTTGGTCCAATTCACCCAGCTAAGAACACTCATCCCAAAAGCCCTGTTCACAAGCAGACTTGTTACAAAAGATGACATGGTCCCAACTAATACCACAAAATTCTACTGCAGTGTAATCATACAGCTTTCTCTAAAAATTTTAAAGTATTGAAGTAAAAAAAAACAACAACAAATATCCACAAGAGACTTAAAAAATATTATTGAATTTAACACTATATTTATGCAATCAAATACACTATGTAATGAGTCATACTGTAGTAGAACAAGAAAAAGACTTTTTATTCACTTGAAAAAATAGCAGACTGGAAGATCTCTTAATTGCATTACACAAACTTCCCTGAGATTTTTACATAAATTATATTTAGTCTACCATAGATTGGAAACCAGATACCTACTGGTATACACTCAGAATTTTACATAATTCCTGCATATATTATACCAGCTAAAATGCTGTTTCAATGCTTTAAAGCTATATCTTCTTTTGTTACAAAAAATACATACATACAACAGAGACTACAAATGCAAAGACATCTTTTGCACAAAATCTTCAAAGCAATGTACAGAAATGGAGAAAACACATGTTAATTGAACCAAGCACTTTGAAGTTCTTTGCAGCTTAAAAACTGTTTGTAAAATTAAAATTTCACAAGTTCTAAAAATTATCAAGCAAATGCTGAATGGCAAGAAAACCAATAGAAATATTATTAAATGCAATGGGCAGAAAGAGGGTTGATGCTGCCCTCCCTATTTAGCAACCCCCCATATTACAAAGATCACAATATTGAACGAGTGACTGGCGGGAGAGGAACATTCATAGTGGTACAAAACATTGATATACTGGCACTGTGTTACACTAGATAAGAATTTTAGTATTTTTTTTTAAGTTGAGGTACTTAAAACTTCTATAAGATGGATTTAGTTAACCACAAATCTTGAGGAGGCCTTACAGTGCAAGTAACTCCTCTTTTTCATCAACTCACTGACACAAATTTTAAAAATAAACACTTTGCTTTAAATACAAGCCTGGATGACAGGTCAGTTTGCTAAGCTGTATATCCCCTTAATTGAACTTTCACAGCAAAAGTCCAAGAAAAACAAGCCAAGTACTTTGCAAACAATAATGCTTAAGTAAAAACAAAGAACAACAAAAATTTACTTGAACTAAAAATAAAAAACCTACAACTTTACTGCTTTCAGATATGAAATTATCCCCAAGTTTTATGCCTGCAGGCAAAACCAAAGAGTTGTCTTGTCCATCAGTTTTTGTTAGACTTATTTAAAAAGCCAAATTATACAGCATAAGTAACCTGCTCTGGTAGCTCTGATCTCCTTCCAGTTCTCAGTAGCTGGGATAATGAATGTCCTTTCCCCCTGCTGAGTGTGGAGCAATTGCACTTTTAATTCCTTCTTGCAAGTAGACTTACTTTGGGTGTTACCACAGAGGGAAACTGAAGGCAACTTAGGCCACTTCATTACAATATAGAGTTGATGTGCTTGTCACTGGCATCATCCAATGTTGGGCAAGATGCATTCTTTCTTTGTGTATGGAAAGTAAAGTACAAGATCATCATCTTGAGAGCAAAGTGAGGAACTGTGAAATGGAGGGCATTTCCTAGATTTTGTATTCTGCTTTAAAAAACTTCTATGACTGCATGAAAATTACAACGATGGAAAGAACAAAAGAGAAGTGTACAAAAGCAGTATGTTTAGCTTTTTCATGTTCAGAAACAAACTAAAGACACTGCCTTGTATAAAATGGATTAATTTGTACTTGTTATCACTGTACCTTCAATTATGTAAAGGGAATCTAATACTTGTTCAAAAGTGGAAAAGAAGAGCAAGAAAAACTGGATAACATGCTTGCTTTTTAATTTTAAATTAAATTTTCACCTGGATGAGTAGGTTTTCTGGCTCTCCAAATTATTAACAATTTGCTCCCTTTCTTTCAAAATACTTACAGTACATCACACAGCCCATTGTATCTCTTTGCATATATTGCTAACTGATAACTGATTCAGATAGGCACATTTAAAATTTCTGGGTTACACAACCACTTCTATTTCGTTATACAGAGAAGCCATTTCTGCATCAACAATGAAAAAATAATAAAACTGTATTAACAAACACAAGCCCTTGTGCAACACACAAAACAGGCCACTATATACCTGGCAAGAAAAGACTGTAAAAGCCTTTTCTGAGCATCTCTATTTCAAGAAGGAAATACACTGTCTTTTCATCTCTTCATCTTACCATGTTTTACTATGTTTTAAGTCACCTTTTTTTTGCATTGCCAAGTAAGGCAAATAATGGTGTTGTACACTGACCATATATTAGGTTATATTGTTTAGAAAAATAATTTCTCTCCCTATTGAAAATTTCAGTATGTTCTCATAGTAACAAATATATCCTGACAGAGAAAACCAGTAGGATACCTCAGTATGCAGACTGAGATAGGATATTTGCCACAACAGATTTTACTTCCAGCAAAGCTAAAATGCACATGTGTACATGTCAATTATACAAAATAGACTAAGTACATTTTGCTCTGCATTGTAACACATTCTCTGAAGGAGGGACACTTTTCTCATCCACCCATGTTGTCCCTTATGTGATCCACTCGCTGAGCAAGATCCCTAAAGGCGGGGCGTTGGGAAACAGTATTGTTCCAGCATTCTTTCATGATGGCATAGATCTGGAGAAGAAACATAGATAACTGGTATCAGGTATAGAGAAGCTACTAATAGTTACTTTGAACTGATACAAAGAACATACATCCTAATTTTATTCTTCCAAGCAACAGTGGCACAGGACTGTGCCGGAAGCGTTGCTATACCAATCTGTTTATCTGCTTGATCTTTTTGACAGCAAGAAGTGAGGATAGCTAGCTCTGCAAAAGTCCTTATTGTAAAATGAGACTTAAAAAATGGAGTATGGAAATTAACTTGGTTAGTTTTTGAAACTTTTAATAGACTTATGCTAATTTGCAAAGTTTTTATCTTCTTGCTTGCTCTGATTTTTTTGAAAGTTCAAAATGTCTTAAATGAAAAACCCTTTACAAGTCTGACCAAAAATCAGATTTACAGAGACAGCAGTTTTAAATTCAGCATCTTCTGCAACAGTAACATACACTTCTTCACATTCATATATTACATTCTAAATTGTTCTTCACAAATAATCAGAAAAAAGGCAGAAATGTTACTGTACAAACTGGACCCACTTCTAGCAGAAGTAGATTTAAATTATTTTTGGAAGAGATATCATTACAATAGGCATTTGGCAACAGTCTTCTCTTTTCCCAAACCTGTACTTCATACCTGGTCACAAAACAACTTGCCAAGCTTCTCACCTGGACTAATCTCACTCATTTAACCCAGATCATTATTACCATTTTCTCATACTTCCAACAAATTCTGCATATTGTTTAAGAACAATATGCATAGCTCCCAGGAAATAAAGTACTGTGAGTTATTTATTTTTCAGCAAATCTGAAACTCCTGCATTGACCAAGCTGCTTTAGACCCAAGTTTCAAGTAGCTTGTAGGCTACAGACATCTGGAAGATTTAATATCTGTGATGACTGCCCTTTCAAGAAGAAAAGAAGAACACAGTTTCTGACTAGAGACAGACCTTTCCATCTTGCTTTGGTTATCTGAAAAAATGTCAGACATTGAAACCTTTGCAATTATTTTGCATAGTTTCAGTAAAACAGATTGTGTCTTATCGTACACATATAACATTCAGGTTATCTACATTTTTGGCTTTTGGGAAACCTTTGCAATTTCAATGATTGCTATATTCATACATATAATGCAAGAAAGGTTACTTCAGAGACTTCTCTTTTGATCCTCTGCAGACTATTCCTTCCTCCATAGCTTCCCTGCCTCACCCTTACCATTCTTTCTCTTCCTTGCTAGACTGCTTGACCCTGATCTCTCCTCTGTCTCCAGTTTTGAATGGATAATTTCTCAACTTTTTGCCAACTGTTTAATGCCAAGGGATGCAGCAATTGATCTAAGCTGGAAATTATGTATGTTTAAAAGAATAACTATTTTACTTGTATTCTTTCCCT